ACGAGGTAGCACAAAGTAGCAAGGACATGATGCTGGTCAACCAGATAGGCAGCGGTCAGAGCACACTGCCTGCTTTTATTCAGGTCTGGGAGCATGGAGGAAAAGTTCAGTTCTGCAGCATTTAAGCAGGCCATTGTTTTCACCAGGCCCATTACAGTGCAAGGGTGGCAGTTCTGCTCATCTTAGACTTTTTCTCCCTAACTTACCATTTAATGAAAAATAAAATAGACGGGTGATTCATGTCAATTTCCATCTCTTTCCTAAAAAGGGGGTCGAGAAACACATCCTGTTTGTCAGAACCTATTGAAGCAAAGACTAGATTGTTGGCACACGAGTAGTTCTTAATAGATTTCTTTGTCCCAGCTGTTCCAGAAAATCTGAATCTCCTTTTCGTGCTGACTTCCAGTGTGGTCAGAGAGGCACTCACCTGGGAATCTAAATCAAAGTTTTATTGTGCAATGATTGGTATTCAGAAGAGTAGCCATGGGTTTGATGTGTGACACAGCTGCCCTCTAGAGGCCTCGTGGCATGTGTACAGTACAGTTAAAACAACTAAATTGGGCAATTCACCAGCAATGACCTGTGATGCGATTCCCAAGATAAATAAGGTAGTGGAGGTAGTTTAGAAAATTCTCTCTCTCTCTTTCCTAGACTTTCATTTGTATGAAGGTTGGAAGAAGTGGGATAAAGAAGGCAAGTGGAAATATGATTGTGCAGGAAGCAGAGGGAGAGACAGCTTGGAGGGAACAGAGAAAGGATAAGGTAGAAAGGTAGTGAAACAACAGAACCATAAGTGGAAGCAGCATGATTAAAATCACAATACGGAAGAGCAACTCAATAGGACTGGCAGTGCAAGCCAGATCAATCAAGTGGCATGACAGTTGTACCTGACTCCATGACAGCGAATCACTGCAGTCTCAGGAGAATGGCAGGTGACAGCAGAGAGTGTTGGAGTCAGACAATGTTGTCACAGTGATGATAGGAATGTGAAGAGATGGTGAATTGGTGCTGGGGAGAAGGAGCTGGCTGGTTCTCCAAATGGCCCCTCCACCCTGCTTCTTGACCACTGGTGCTCTTCCAGGTTGAAGGGTGAAGGAAAATATCCTGCTAGCTAGTGCTTCATATAATGGCAAAGGAAATGGGTGGGCAAAGGAAATGGGTTGGGGTTACACTTTTGTTGGGGAGGACAGGTAGGTACTTTTCCTCACTGTTTTACAGATGAGTAACTAAGACAGAGAACTTTTTGCATGTGCCCTCATGCCTCTTTCTGGCCCCCTCACAAGATTACTTCAGGGTGGAACTGCTCTGACCTTCCTCCATTCCTTTGCATGAGAAGGGAGGAAGATGTTCATGGAATACACAGCTGTGTCCACATCTCAAAGAACAACAGTTGCAGTACAGTAAGAAGTAACCTTTTTTTTTCATGTGGTTGCAGACTTGGGAAGTAACAGAAGAAGATGGGTCTCAGAGGCTATTTAAACAGCAAGTGAAGAACTGGCTTTTCAAAATTGGTATTCAGCCTCAATGCAGACCTAACCTCCATGAATTTATCCAGTTCCTTTTTGAACTCTATTAATCCTTGTCTTCACAACATCCTCTGGCAAGGAGTTCCACAGGTTGACTGTGCGCTGCATAAAGAAATACTTCCTTTTATTTTAAACCTGCTACTTATTAATTTCATTTAGTGACCCCCTAGTTCTTATGTTAGGGGAACAAGTAAATAACTTTTCCTTATTCACGTCCCACATCAGTCATGTTTCATAGAGACCTTTATCAAATCCTCCCTTAGTCCCATTTTTTCTATGCTGAAAAGTCCAAGTCTTTTTAAATCTCTCTTCATATGGCAGCCATTCCAAACACCTAATCATTTTTGTTGCCCCTCTCAGAACTTTTTCCCATGCTAGGTTTCTTTTTTGAGATGAGGTGACAATCTGTTTACACCTTTCCAATACCCGTATGTGATGTCATGACCTTCTCAAGCTGTTTCTTACCCAAGATATACATATTTTGCTCTTTTATTCACTCTTTATATGCCAGTCTCTTAGTTCTCTAATCATCTTTGCTACTCTTCTCTGAAATTGAACCAGTTTATCTGCATCTTTCTGGTACTGATGTGCATAGAAAGGAATGCACTATGCTAGGTAGGTAGTCTTTTCAGACCCAGAAAGAGCAGCTCTCATCTACTTTCTTGTTTGGTGGTAGGAAGAATCTAAATATACAGTCTCAAATCATGCTTTTGTTGTTGTTGTTATTGTTGTTCGTGTATTTTACCACAAATTCAGATCTAATCTTCATAGGCTCTGTAGGCCTGTTGGTATTAATGCTTACTCTGCCTTGTAGATATCTGCCTTTCCAGATGTACAAGTCTGCATTTCATTTCCAAAGTCAACCCTCAGTTTATTTCCTGTTCACATTTCTGACTTCTCTCCAAGTATGTCTACACAGTAATTAGACACTCATGGCTGGCCTGTACCAGCCGACTGGGGCTCAGGGAACAGGCTAAGGGAATCTTTCATCACTAGATAGGTGTTCAGGTTCAGGCTGGAGCCTGGGATCTAGAAGCCTGCAAGTGGAGAGATGGAACATCTACACAGCAGTTAAACTTTGACCCTTAGCCTGAGCCATGTGAGCACCACTGGTTTTTAATTGCAGTGGAACTGTAGTCTGAATCAGCCTGAATCTTGAAGTCAAGATTTTGTCACTAAATCAAGATTTTGTCTGCTAAATCTTTTTATTTGCTTATAATCATTATTGTGGTGTCTGTTTCCATCTCTTTCCTAACTTGGAGAGGGAGGCGCTCACAGCTTTCAGAGCTTGTTTCAGGCTGGTGTCAAGCAAAGGAAATCAACCATGATCAGTTTCAGGCTGTTCATATTTTGGAGGCTTTCTTCACAATAATGAGGCCTAGAAAGGTACTTTTTGTTATTAAATGAAAGGTGAGATTCTATGGAATCTGGCCATAGCATGTAGTCCATTGAAATACACCAAATGGACTAGGTATTTAATCCATCAAGGACATCTACCACTTGAGATAATGCAGTAAAAGATAGCAGTAGTAGGTTGTCATCTTCAATACAGATCAGCACTAGGTGGCCATGACATTATACATTTTGCATGAACATTGTGGCAAAACCTCAAAGTCACTTGCGTGGTTATCAAAGAGCTGTTAATTGGGCTAGCAGACATAGGCTCATTCCCTTGTGCTAAAAGGAATCAAGAGAATGCCAAGCCACATTGTAATGGGATCAAGCCAATTCAGCTGTCAGAATAGTTCAAATAAATGTTAGTGCTATTGCCTTTACATACCTGTAACTTGATTTGCATTATATATGTATTCCTATGCTTAATAAACCCTCAACCAGAGGTTTGTATTAGTATTAAGATGAGAATTTGCTGGATGTGTATCTGTTTTGTTTTTATTTACCTATTCCGGCTATTAGAACGTAATGGCAGGCAATTGCATATGTATAGCACTATAACTGGATTTATATATAGGAAGTGGAATGACAATTTCAAAGCAAGTTATCCTTGATATGGTGCCCTGAGGTGAAAGACTCAAAATGCATTCATCATCAATGTGAGAATCTGTGCTATGAGTGTAAGTATTTGGCTGCTTGTCAGAGAAAACAGATATAGAAACTAGAAGACATCACTGCTATCATTTTGGACTTACAAACTTTAATTCACCTGTTATGTGTATTACCTACTTTCATTTCTTTTTCTGACCTAAAAAATCTTTAGTTTAGTTGGCTAAAGAAATTGGCTTTAGCATTGTTTTTGGGGAGATCTGAAGTGTACCTTGACTTGGGATAAGTGGGAGGCCCTTTGTGGCTGAGAGTAAATGACTGTGCTGAGTTTTTTGTTTTAATAGCCTTTCCTCATTAAGTCCAGTTTGCTGGGTGACAGGATGGGCTGGAGTGGCTCAGGCAACTGGCTATGGTTCTAAGGTAAGCTGGTACAGTGCTCTAGGAACACACATTTGCGGCCGGCTTGGTGAAATCTAATTATAGAATATAGCACTAGTTTGGGTGTATCTGCTCTGTTTACTGACAGTATGGCCTGAATTCAACACACTTAGCTATGACTCATTCCAGATTGTATGACAAGGGTTTCATAAACAATAGAGCAATAGTGAAATATTGTCTGTAGGAAAGACAATTCTGCCAATTTCCCTCAAACTTGATTCCATTTTCACCATCTCTGCTCCCTTCCAGGCTATCTCTGTCCCTTCTTTTCCCTTCCATTGTCCTCCTGACCTAGTCCCATTTCTCTCTGCAAAACAGTCCTAGGCTATGTCTAGACTGCAGGCTTCTTTCGGAAGAAGCTTTTCTGAAAGAGATCTTCTGGAAAAACTTCTTTCAAAAGAGTATGTCCACTCAGCAAAAGCGCATTGAAAAAGCAATCTGCTTTTTTGAAAGATAGCATCCATTCAATGTAGACTCTCTCACACATTTAAGTTGTGATTACTATGGATGGAGTGGCCACCAGGGCACCTGTGCTTTTTCCAGGAGGACTCTTTGGAAAAAAAACCCTCTTCCGCATCCACACACACCTTTTTCCAAAAGAGGTCTTACAGGAAAAGGCTTCTTCTTCATAGAAAGAGGTTTACTGCTGGCGAAAAAAACCCTGTGGTGTGATAGTAGGGGTATGTCTACACTGCAGTATTTTTTTGGAAAAACGACCATACCCAGAGGCTACGTCTACACTACAAGGGTTTTGCACAAAATAGCCATTTTTGTGCAAAAACCGGTGAAGCGTCCACACCTCAAGTGCATTTTTGTGCAAGTAAATGGACAGAACAGAGGGCTTTTGCCGGTAGAGTTATTCCTCTTCCCACGAAGAGCAACTCCTTTTTGCACTACAGATCTTGCGCAAAAAGGCAGGCGTGGACAGAAGGGGTTTTTGTACAAGAAACCGCTATTGGAAAAAGCACAGGTGCTCGGGTTGCCATTCGCAAAATGGCTATCAGAGCTTTCTTGAGCTTTTGCAACGCGCTTTGAGGTCTAGATGTGCTTTTGTGCAAAAGGCTTCTTGCGCAAAAACCCTGCAGTGTAGACAAAGCCCTACTGTCCACTCAGGCTTCTCGTCCCAGTCTCCTTCCCCAGCAAGTCCTCACCCATTTGGACTGCCTATCCCAGTCCCATGTCTTCTCCTCTCGTCCACTGGTCAGTCTTTCCCCAACCCCCTTTCTGCATCTGATTTCAGTTTCCTCTAAAAGTTCAGAGTCCATGCTAAAAACTGGGCTGGCAATTGTACAGTTTCATATTTGCCTGCAAATTACTTAGCAATTTCTCATTTACTGTAAACTAATATGTATGTTGAGGGTTCTACTCTTTGGTGATTCTTTCTTATTGTTTGCTTATTTGCTATTAATATTGAATATGTAAAATTTAATGTGAATCTGAGCAGTGTTTTTGTTGACTTGCTTTTGTTACTTCAGCACCTGCTGGATTCAGCACTTGCTGAATAATGATTTAGTCATAACATTGAGTCCTCATGGACAAGAAGTGGCTTCAAAGCTGTAAGATGTATCTGTACAGTCACTGATATGTTTATTCTACTATTGCCTAAAATAACCTATATTTCTTGTAATTCACATGACAGTCACATCAGAAGTAAGTCTGCTGGGGTTCCTGTTTTGGGCTGGCTCATCAAACCAAAGAAAAAAGCTGCCAATTCAATCTAACTGTATTTCCTGCCCCCATCCCAATTACATAAAAAACAAATGAAAACTGAGATAAACGCAATGTAAAAGAGCATCACAGGAGTCGAACTGCACCAAAAAAAGTGCTATCTCCATCCAATGATATTTTGGCCCTTCTCCGTGGTATTGTAAGTTGAAGTTCATCCCCTTTTTCTAATTTTGCAATGCCTGGAAAAGAATTTGACATATCTTTAAAACAGGTATTTTATTCCAATAGACTGCACGCAGAGAGTATATTTTGTATTACCTAAACAAATTATTTGTAATAAAAAAAAGATATAATTCAATCCAATCTTGCAATCTTTACTCAGGCAAAACTTACATTTAAATTCATCTATAATTTGGACCTTACATTTGAATATCACTTCCTAATCATTATATTCTGATCTTAAAGAACTACTGCCACCATTCAGAAAAGTTACCATAATCACAATACATTGCCTTGTATTAGTCTTACATTTCTTGTCTTCTAATTGGTGATTACTAAGACATTTCTGTGCAAATTTTTTTCCTTTCTAATTAGCTCCCTGCTACATGTGTCATTTAGCAAATGTACAATCCTGTGACCATGCCCTAGAACAGCTTTTATTGTGGTGAACTGTGCTGCCATCTACTGTATTCATTTCCTACTTTAAAGTAGGAATAAGAGATCTCCGGAAAAGGGCTTTTTTCCGGAGGATCGGGGCCAGTGTAGATGCTCTTTTCCGGCTTTTCTAAAAGCCAGAAAAAAGCGGCGGACATTTTTATTTAAATGCCGCGGGGGATATTTAAATCCCCCGCGGATTTCCCTATTACGACCTGTCAAATTAGCATGCCCCTTTCGGAAAAGGGGCCAATGTAGACGTAGCCCATAGTTTACAGCACACAACAGACTTCTGGAGCTCTGCTAATATAAAAAGCTTTAATTCTGTACAGGTGTGAATATCTTGATTTATTTGTATGCAATATTTCTGATGGGACTGTCGAACATGCTCCACTTTGGTCTAACCATGTTTTCACTTATGACAATGATAAGACTCCAGTCATCTTTATTAGAAGCATAAAGTCAGGCTGATACTGAGTGCTTTAACATAGAGATGCCCAAGTCCATATCTGATTGACTAAAGCAGAACAGAGATGCCAAAAATGTCTACTGCAGTATCTAAATGCATATTTTGGACATCTGAGTATGAAAATGGACTCATAAGAATTATATTAGCTATATAATAAAATTGCACACCAACAAAAATATGCCATGCTTTTATAGGCAAGGTGATTTCTGAATCAACTATATTTTCATTAGGTCTCAGAGGAGTAGCTGTGTTAGTCTGTAACATAAAAACACTCAAACAATGAGCTTTCGTGGGCACAACCCACTTCTTCAGACAAGTGGAACAAAATGCACAGAAACCTGAGTCACGCATCACCACAAATTGTATTGGGTACAGCTTTCTTATAGAAAAAGAAGGATAAAAACTCATACTTACCAGCAGTATAGCAAGAATTATTAGGATGAGAAAGAGGCATATTTTGGATACAACGAAATAATGTCACCAAACTGAGATCATCACCAAAAACATGAGCTTTTTTTCTTTGTATTAGATGTCCCATAGCAAATGTTGCATCTGTATATAATACCTGAAGAACAAAAAAGAAACAAAAACTTCAGACATAAGGGCTATGTCTACATTGGCATCCCTTTCCGGAAAAGGGATGGTAATGTGACGAGTCGGAATTGCAAATCCGCGGGGGATTTAAATATCCCCCACGGCATTTGCATTAACATGGCTGCCGCTTTTTTCCGGCTTGTAGAGAAAAGCGCCAGTCTGGACGCGATCCTCTGGAAAATAAGCTCTTGAAAGTAGGAATAAGAGATCCTCTGGAAAAGAGCTTATTTTCTGGAGGATCGCGTCTAGACTGGCGCTTTTCTCCGGCTTATCCCCAAGCCGGAAAAAAGCGGCAGCCATGTAAATGCAAATGCCGCGGGGGATATTTAAATCCCCCGCGGATTTGCAATTCCGAAGTGTCTAATCTGCATCCCTTTTCCGGAAAAGGGGTGCAGTGTAGACACAGCCAATGTGCATTACATATTCCCAGTGAAAGTACAATATTAAAGCGAAGTCAATATTCTTACCTGACCATATATGAAAAAATAACCTGCTTCTTTGACCAATATTTTATTTCCTTGCTCTTCCAGAGCTGTTCCTCTTTTAAAGCTAAGAAGCCATGGAACAATGCTTGAATCATCTAAAAGAAAGAAAAATGTATGGTAAAAAAAATTTAAAGTAAGTAGTTCCTTCTAGTTTCCTTTGGTCAAAATTCAAAAACAATACTGATCTTTGAAAAAAAGCACAGTTTAGAGAAGGGGATTTTCACATTTAAATGCGGAAGAGATTAGGGGGAATTATCCAGTCCCAAAATTCTTTTTTTTTTTTTGTAACAGCATTGTATTAATCAAAATACCACTTATTGGTTAGCCTGGTGTTTGAGTAGAAAATATGTGGAAAGTATTGTTACCTTTTTGCTCAATGTTACTTGTGCTATCAGCAATCAATTGCAAACAGGCCTGTAGCACTGAAAAGAAAAAAAAGAACACTCCTTTGTAATCAAAGAAAACAAGTGAGGGAATATAATTAGAAGAATAGTTTAAGATCCTGGGAGGGTAAAAATAAAATCTACACATGCGGGAAACACTCTTATTCTCACTATGTGGAACCATTTCTTCTTGTGGCAGATATTTGTCAAATGTGCAGAACAGCCACCAGATTTTCACATTAAAGAGTACTGGAGAAATTCATAAATGAGTTTAGATGCTTTGGCTCCTTCAACTTAGTTACATTTCTATCTGAACCCCTATTGTCAGTTGTGATGGATGTTGGTCTTTCAAAGGATTTTTGTAGCAATTGCAAGAGGTTTTTAGTTTCACATAATAGTGAAAGAAAAAGTCAGTGTGAATATGAATTCATTTCATATTACATTTCTAAAAGAGTGAGATAAAACAATGGGATTTTAATGAAATTGCCTAATCATGAAAGAGGTAATAACAAATGTTTATAAAATAAAGTGTTGCAGTTACAGCTATAAAACTTAGTACTTGCCAAAACTTATCCATTGCTTTAAAGCTTTAACATTGCATGCTTTGGATAGAAATACATGATACAAATTTAGTCATAGAAATGTAAGCAATATTGTGGCATTTGTATAACAGGCAAATAAAATTTAAGGCACCTTAAAAAAATCTCCCACAGATAAGTACCTGGAATCATAATTTCAGAAAATTGTATTACCTAAGCACAGATATCAGTTAAGCCTTATGCTTTACTGTTACTTTCAAACTATAACAGTATTACATAAAAAAGTCAATAAAAAGAAACAAAGAAAAAATTCCTAATATGTTCAATCTCACTTCCTGAAGCACATAATCTGTGAGCAAATTCTGCCACCCTTACTGCTACTGCTCCACAAGCAGTCCTATTTAAAACAAAAACAAAAACCAAAAAAACTAAAATGTTATAGCCAATTGCTTAACTATCTTTTTGGTTTGATATTGAAATTACTCAAGAGATCAAATAACCAATCTTAGTCAAAATTATTAGTCAAAGACAAAGCAGTATAATGCAGAAAAGAGAATTAATACAGTACTGATTTGGAGAGCAGAGTCTTGCAGCATTTAATTTTGCTCTGAAATGAGGTAGTCAAGATTAGCTGTATACACAGTATTGCTGTTTAAAAGTTATACAACATTTTATATGTCAACCAAGACTTAACTTGCCTATCAGCTTTTTGCCATGTTTTCTGTTTCAGCTTGTTCCTTTCCCATCTTTGTCTTGGATGCCACAATCCAGGCACCAACTGGCATGAAAACTCTTCCTACATATACCAGGATACAATACTAATACAATATATCTTATCTCTGACAGGCTTTGTATTTGCCTGTGCCAAAAGTTTTGCAAAGTGTTGTGGGATATACACTTTAGCATGGGTAGAACAAGAGTATATAGCGTTTTAGGGAAAGCATAACGCTGCTGAGTTAACACAACTACTCAGTGTTCATAAACAATATAATGTATACAATAGTAACATCAATTTGAAATAATATGGTGTTTGTAATACATATTAAGGTGGTGTGCACTATGTTATCATGCATATGCTAGCTAACATTGCCAGCAGGACTACTAGAAGTCTAAGGGTATGGCTACACTAGCCACCCTAGTTCGAACTAGGATGGCTAATGTAGTCATTCAAACATTCAAATGAAGCCTGGGATTTACATATCCCAGCTTCATTTGCATGTTCCTGGATGCTGCCATTTTTAAATGCCCAGTAGCTTGAACTACCTGCCTGCAGCTACACGCAGCACGGACTAGGTAGTTTGAATTAACACTCTTCATTCAAACTACCGTTACTCATTGCAGGAGGAGTAACGGTAGTTCCAATTAACACTCTTAATTCGAACTACCTAGCCCGTGCCGAACTAGGGTGGCTAGTGTAGCCATACACTAAGATACTAATAATCATAAGAGGCACAGAAAATTTGGCCTCATAGTCTATGGAATATCAGAACATTTGGCCCTGTATTCTATGGAATATCATGAAAAGCTTAAGAGCTTAAAAAAAATCCCTGCCCTTCTCACATGGAAAAAAAACCCTGGGTAAACTTCTCCTTACTTCTTCTCTCATAATAAAAGCACTTCACTGAAAGAGAAGCTTTTCAAATCCAAGCAAAATACAATTTCCTGGTAGTGCACAGCAGCGTCAAAGAGGAAATATCAGCCTCTTATAAAAGGCATTATAATTAATTCATTCTTCTCTTTAAGATCTGAATTCCTTATGACTGAGCCACATTATCTATTCACTAGCGCCCAAACTGAGTGCAGATTACACATTTCTTTCTAGCCTTCAGAAAAATCAGATACTTCTTGCATAGGTAACTTTCTTTTAAAGGACTGAGACAAGATCTGGTGTCAGATGTGTGGTCCTGCTTCTTTTGCTGCTAATTCTGGTGATGTTTGCAGCAATTTTGTGTGTGAGTGTGCGTAAAATACACAGGACCAGATACTCAACTGGTATGAATCAGCCTAACTCCATTAGCTTTAATTGAACTATGCTTATGTGCACCTGCTGAAGATTTGGCCTTGTATTTTTATTACTACCACCTCACAAAACTACTCATCATTGTAGGACACTACCATGTAATTATTAAAGCAGTAATAACTTAAATGTTTGATATCATCTGAGAAACTTTTTCATAATACAAATACCCGAATATTATCAAACATAATGTATTACTAATTATAACCACTACAGAAAACCCATCTGTTTGTTTAAATCTTTTTGTGTATCTAGATGATAATGATTACATCTCTTGGAATATAACCATTTACCTTTTATAAGGAGAGACAACAGATTATATAGTTTTGTTCACTGGTGCTAAAGCAAATGCTAAATAGCAATCTGAATCTCTTATTTAAAAACACAAATTAAACCACAGCAGTATCCAAGAAAACAAAGTCTATTTCAGAACTATGAAAAGCAGCAGTTTTTTGAAACCTTTTTGAAATGTAGGAGCAACAGGTCACAATCCAGCAAAATACTTTGCTTTGCTATATTTAATGAGACTACTCACATGTTTAAAGTTGAGCAGCTGTTTAAATATTTTGCTGAATCAGGGTCATAAGGAGTAAGATTACTACTTGTTAAAACAGGAAATAAGGAAGAAAACTATTTCCTCTAGGACCTCAGCAACACATTAGTTCCACTAAGAACTGATTGTCAATCTATTTCAAAAAGGAGCTATGGCTTACTCAAAATGCAATACCAAACACAAAATGAACAAATAGTAACTATAATAGTGAATTGGAATGAGTCAAAAATCCTTGTTTGAACACCCAAAATTCTGAAAATTCAGATCATTGTTCCAACTTTGTGGGTCACACCATTTTCTAAAATATAATAATTAATAATGTCACCATGATTACGACAGTAAGGTAATCTAAAAATGTATTATACTATCCAAGGAAAACAGATTACATCCTCATGACAACAGCACACATTGCACCTGCAGCATTTGAGCTTGCATAATCTTTTAGGACCCCATTCAGAAAAGAGCTGTTCTTCTTGTAACGTAAGTTTTTCTAACTTGTACACCTCCAGGAGAAAATGTTATAGAAACCAAGTGTCAGAATGTAATGTCTCTTCACTAAGCTAAACAGACACTTCTGAAGTTAGAGACTTCAGATGCATTAACAAACCACAGACAGAACTTAAAAGGATGTGGCCTGTCCAGCTGAGCAATGCATGCTTATTTTCCAAAACACCAGAAATGGCTGCCCTGCCAGTCTAGTGCAAGCTGCTGCTTTTGCAACATGTTTTTTACACATGGGACTGCAGACTAGCTTAGTGTATTCATCTATACATGATCAGAGACTTTATATTAATATTATCACATCCCCTCCCAAAACGATTTTACATAATCTTATTTACAGTCACCTGTGTCCTATAAGTTGAGACCTAACCTTACAATATGTTAAATCTTGAAGAAATTTTAAAGCGTGAATGCCTAAAGTTAGGTACATATGGCGGAATCATGGTACTAATTAAAAGTGGCCTGAGGTGCAAAACTCTGAGAATTCACAAATGTCAAAGACTTGGTAACATTCAGTAACTTTGAAAAAAAACTATTAATGTAGATGCCTAAACACGACTTTAGGACACAATTTAGGCATGTCTTAGGTAACCCAAGTTTGAAAACACTGGCATTAGTTCGCTAGGTATCTGTGAACAGATGCTATGTTAAAAGGATTTCAACACACCCCTCCTTTCTTGCATGGGCCTCATGTATTTTCAGTGGACTTTCTGAAACATGCCTTAATACTGTATAATTCCACACAAAGTGGAGTCTTCTTTCTTTCCTCCCATTTTTCTTCCAGGAGCTGCTTGCTTTATTTTTCATCTGTAGAAGGGAATGATGGAATAGCCATGTATAATTCAAATGTATATTTTTAAAACTGGTTAATCTGGCATTTAGGACTATAAATAATTTAGATATATAAACTAGCAAAGACAGCATAAACCCTGTATAAAGACAGTTAGTTCAGTTATATTTAGGAATGTGACGCAGAGCTAATGAATATTCCCAAAATATTCGTTGCTCTTAATAGAGTGACCATTACTGTGGCGTGTTCCACATAATAAGTGATTTGCTATGTAATTTACCCCAAATATTTTATGCACATATTATTTGCACTTTAGAATGTTTTTGTTTTATAAAGGGACAGCTTACTTTTGAATAACTATTTTGGAGTGCCCATAATTTCACATAATATGCATAATATTGGTTCATCCAGGCAGTAAATTGGATCTCTCATGTTGAACTGCATGTCCTGGATTAAGTCCCTTCATGCTCTGTGGTCGAGGAAGAGTTGGTTCCTCTTTGACTTACACTGCTGTCAGCAGAAACAAACTCCATTTCTTTCTCAGATAAGAAGTAGAACTTCTTGAGAACTGCACCCACCTTTCCATAGCATCTGCAAAAAGAGTGGGCATCCTTATAATCTGCTGTGGACATTGGCTAT